AATTCCGCGACAAATTGTGTTCCTCTATCGGACACGATAGTATCAGGTAGACCATATAGTTTCCACACATTATCGATATATAGCCTCGCTACTTCCTTCGAGTCCACCTCTTTAGTCGTTGGTATCAGATGTCGCATTTTGGTTAGTCTATCAACAACAACTAGGATCGCAGTATATCCATCACTCTCAGGAAGGTCAGTAACAAAATCCATCGAAACATCCATCCATGGTCCATCGGGTATTGGCATTGGGCGAAGTACTCCATAAGGCGCATTGCGTGGTGCCTTGCTACGGGTACACACATTGCAGTTCCTAACGTATCGATCGACATACTTTCGCATTTGTGGCCAATAATACTCCCGACTTAAGAGTTCCAATGTCTTTGCTCTACCCGGATGGCCTGCTGATGGTTTATCATGATGTTCTTGTAGGAGCCTCAGCCGGAGGTCATTATCATTTGGTACATAGAGTGCGCCTCGATAAAGTAGCCGACCATTATTATCTTCCGTACATTCGGCAAGTGAAATTTTATTAGAATGGCGAACGTCGCTCCGAAGCATCGCGAGGATTTCGTTTGGGAAACTATCGACTTGGTAAGCTTTTGCAAATAACTCCTCCACAGTGGACATTCCTTCAGCGGATTCATTTGATAAAGAACCCGCGAACAAACTTAGCTTTACATCCAAATTTTTTCTCTTCAGAACTACTTGGCTCTGATGCGTCAACCGTTCATCCCCCTCTTTAGGTAGGTCACCTGACCTTCTAGTCAATGCATCTGGTTTCGCTCCTTGTTTTCCTGGTCGAAATTGTATAACGAAATCGAAACGTGAAAGGAATTCCGACCAACGAGCTTGTCGGCGATTTAATAATTTTGTTGTCATGAAATATTCCAGGTTCCGGTGATCGCTGAAAACTTCAATGGGGAGGTGTGCTCCTTCCAGATGATGTCGCCATTCCTCAAAACATCGCACAATTGCTAGGAGTTCTTTATTATAAATTTCATAGTTACATTCCGCAGGGGAATGTTTCTTGGAAAAGAAAGCGACCGGGTGTAAAACTCCTTCATCATCACGTTGCGATAGGATTCCTGCGGAAACATAGTCGGATGCATCGGTTTCCACCACAATCTTTCGGTCCGGATCGAAATGAACTAATATAGGTGCCGTTGTGAACATCTTTTTTAGGGTCTGAAATGCTTCCTCCCTTTCATCTGTCCATTCGAATTTAACATTTTTCTTCGTTAGAGCTGTAAGCGGGGCAACAATTTTTGAATATCCTAAAATAAACCGTCGATAAAAATTTGCAAATCCCAAAAATACTTGAACATCATGGAGATTCGTTGGTGTAGACCATTCTAAAACATCAATAACTTTCTTCGTATCCATTCTATTGCCATTCGGGGTAAGGATTAAGCCAAGGTATTTCGTTTCTTGAACCATAAATTCGCATTTCTCGGGTTTGAGATGAACGTGATTTTCATCAAGTACCTTTAAAATCTTTTGAATATGATCCTTGTGCTCTGCGAGGGATTCAGAATAGATGAGAATATCATCTAAATAGGCTGTCACAAATTGATCGAGATAGGGGCGTAGAATATCATTGATCCAATGTTGGAATGTAGCCGGAGCATTCGCTAATCCAAAGGGCATTACCTTATATTCAAAATGCCCATATCGAGTCCGGAATGCCGTTTTCCATTCATCGCCCTCCGCTATTCTAATCTGATTATATCCCCAGCGTAAATCCAACTTGGTATAATATTTTGCTCTCGACAATTTGGCCAGGGTTTCCTTCAATAATGGCAATGGATAACGGTTTTTAATCGTAATCGCATTAAGGCCCCGATAGTCGACACATAAACGAAGGGTTCCATCGGCTTTCTTGACAAATAGTATGGGTGCTCCCGCTGGGGATTCGCTATGGCGGATGATTCCCTTAGGTAAATTTTCCTGAAGGTAGTCCCAGAGTGCCTTTAACTCAGTTTGAGATAGAGCATATATTGGTCCCCATGGTGGTTTTTTGCCTTCTTCCAATATTATCTTCATATCATGGAACGGTCGATGTGGTGGAAGGATTGAAGCATCGTATTCTTCAAACATGTGGATATAGCGATGGAACTCTTTTGGTATCAGTTGTTCAATATCGATGGTAGGTTTTTCGGTCGCCGAAACGGTGATGGTATGAGTTTCCGGTAGAGGAATCGATATGCCATGAACCGTAATGACAGTTCCACTAAGCGAACAATGTTGACAGCAACTTCGAGAGTCAAAAATAAGCAAATTTTCCTTAGGTCGAATCGTAACATCATGGCGTCGCATCCAAGGTATCCCCATCACAATTGGATAATGTCCCAACTTTGTCACAAAACATGACGCAGTCTCTCGATGGCCATGAATATCTAGCAAAACATCGACAATGTGGGTAATTTTTCCTGACTTGATAGGTCTGCCGTCTATAACGTCTACGTAGCGGGGTATCTTAAGTGGTGTCATGGTGAGATTATTGTGGCGTGCAAAAGATTCATCGATGAAAGCATATCCTGATGCTCCGGTATCAATAAGGGCGTAGGTGGGTACGAAAGTATTTTTATTCTGTGAAATTGAACAAGTTACTACAAATTGATTCCCATCCATTTCCTCCTCTGATACCGAAAAACCAGAAATATGCATTTCAGAAAAATCCTTAAATGGTCCCTGGGCTAAGCCACTTAGTGCAGGGACAAATCTTTTGCCGACTCGTTATCACTTCCATCATTTTCCTCTACCCTCAATGCTGCTCCTCTCATCACCGGTCTTCTCGTTTGATTTCCAGTTGCTCTTGCTTGGGGGCAATCTCTAACCATGTGTCCAACTCCTCCGCAATAGAAGCATCGGCCCTCAGCTAAGCGGGCATTTCATTCAGTAGGGGTGGGGCGACGACGTCCACCAGACAAATCCATCGGTACATCACCTCCCGGGCGGAACGAGGGATGATTCTCAGGAGTAGGTACATTGACAGCTGGGGCGGTAGCACGGGGAGCAGGAGCAGGGTTCGCTGGTGGGGGCCGAGAGGTCGGAGCAGCAGTAGCGTTCCAAGGCTTTTTACTTCCTCGCTTAGCTTCTGCCGCTCGTCGTCGATTATCTAACCGTTGCAAGAGTGTCGCACAGGCATCTACTGTCGCAGGAGTCTCATGGTGTATCATCGATTCGTCGAGTTCCGCATTGATACCTTCCATCAAAGCCTCAATCCGAGAAACTTCATCCATCCCTGACTCAGCAGCATATCGTTGAAATTCGGCGAAATAATCGGCAAAGGTTCGATTTCGTTGGCGGATGTTCCTAAGATTCCTCCTAGCCGTACGCATTCGATCAGGGTCCCCGAATGCAGTATCTAGAATTTCATAGAACCGCAACATGGAAGGCAAAGCAATGCCTTCTTCTCCGACGTATTGCAAAAACTGATTAGCGGCAACACCCTCCAATCGACTAAATGCATAGGATAACTTGGACTGTAGTGTGGGAAAGCGGTCGGCATTTCCCAATAGCTTAATCCTCATCTGTTGTTTGAATAGGTGTAATCTCTCTCGATCGCGGTCTCCCCTAAACACCTCAGGATCTGGGAGCTTCTCCGACCGTTGGGTGGTAGTCACAACAGGTGGTATTGGAGGTGCAGGTGGGGCATCATCACCACCAATCGGTTCTTCATCAGGGGCAACTACCTCAATAGCAACCCGTTGAGTTCGAGCAGTAGCAAGGTCTCGTTCAAACATCTCCCTTGCATTTTCAGCCTCCCTCTCTACTTCCTGTAGATCCGTTGCATACTGAGCAAGCCCATGTTGGGCACGTTGGAGAAGTGCAGGAGCTTCTATACCGACATTGTTGTCTACCTCCGGATGTTCTTGGAAAAAGATTTGGAGGGCTTCGCTTAGCTGTTGATAATCAATAGGGGCGTGTCCCGACATCGTAGGCTATTGTGTTGTATTAGTTGGCGATAGAGGACGGAACCTTAGTGTAACGGGGGACTATGGGCGTAGGGACTATAGTGCCAAGGAACACAACCGAGGCAAAGACGTAGCAATAGGTATTCTTGGCTATGGACTATGGGATGGTTCTACCTGGTATGACAAACCAGTCGAACCCTATAATGAGACGTAGAACAAACGTAGTATTCGTGGAGTAAATACAAAGGTTCCGTGAAGAGAAAAGGAAAGGAAAGGAAACATGAAAAGACACGAGGCAACGCCCCCTTATATATCCAACCTCTAGTCCATTGATGACTAATACTCCGCGTAACGGAAACCGAAAGAACATAACAGAAACCCCATTACCAATCATAGTTCAACTGCGCAATACTTCCTCTTCACGATCCAATCCATCACCCTAGCCAGAATATAATATTGCCGTTACAAAAGTCGTATACTTCAATGGCTATCATAGCCTTTCGCAATTGCACTGTGCTAATCTTCAAACTATTTACAGTATAGCGTTATGATGTAGGGAGGGGTAGCCTTGAAGGGTTCAGGCTAATTGGTTCGGTGTAATGTTCATATATATCGACAGATTTAAAGGGGAGTGGAACTTGAAAGTAGTATGTATCTTTATTAAAGGCTTCCACTCGGTCGGTAAAAGTAGGATTCGTAATGTACAGGTCGGTCGGGCAAGGGCATGAGGAAAAGGAGAAATCTAACCCTCTCACGATCTGACAAGATATAAACACAATGTTGCGTAGAGAAGAAAGGAAAGGTAGACAAGGAGGGGTAAAAGACTCTTATAAAGAAGGAAATGACAATCGGTAACTAATACCAAAGAACTTTCTGGAAACTCCTGATGACTCACATCTCCCTCGCATAACGGATCTTGCTTGGTAATCGTGGGGCTTCGTCGACGTAAGGTTCGTAACATTTTCCTTTTGTTCAGGCGGTTTGGTTCGGCGTGCGATAAGTCTTCAAAGCAATATAAAAAACCTTCACCGTCACCTTCTCTTTTACTCCTGTACTTGCTAGAATAATATTACCGCCTTGACTACATTCCGCCGTACTCCGGCTCCTGCTCAGTTCGTTCGTATCCCGAGTCGAACTTGTCCCGTACCCGCCCCGTTAGATTATTAAAAGCAGACGTGTATGATGATCATCAAAGATAGGACGAACTATTTTGGCACTAGTACTTGTAATACCCGGCCGGTGGCGGACACAAGCTATGTAGTTGTGTAGTCCTTTAACCTCGTGTATTGTTGTCAGGAGTAAAACAGTTATTATCCATCCAAATCAACGCCAACACCTTGTCCACTAGGGCCCCGTGACAAACTCAGAGCTGGAGTTATAAACTGCGTCATAAACTCGGACTGTCATAAACTGCTGTTTTTAACTCAAAACTGTCATAAACTCAGACTCAATTTTCTAATTTTGACCACCCAAATTACCCTAACCCACCCTAAATACCAATTTTTGCCCTAAAATTACCCTAGCCCACTCCCAAAATGGGTGTTGAGTTTATGACCATGACACCCAGGTTTTCGACAGCCAGTTTTTAACCAGTTTAAAACTGTCTGTCATACATTCAGTTTAAAACTCCCGAGTTTCTCACGGGGCTCTATTGTCCACTGCCTCCCCCTCTAGTGTATTCCAGACAGGGCGAGCCGTGGTCTTTGACTTTTTCTTTTTCGCAAAAGTCGGTGGAAAGTTCTTTGATCCTGCCCTGGTCGTCCCGCACGCGCCAATTCCCAACGACCGCAAATGAGCAAATAATGGTATATTCGAAAAATAGTTATCCATATAGATATCAAATAGATGGGTTAGGTAAGGGAGGGTTTGTACAAGTTGAATTACCGTCGAGGAAGTTAATGAGTGGTTTTGCTAACTTCTTTACTTCACCTATTTTCTTGGTTCGGGAACTGTAGAGAAACGAATAGGTAAAGCCTCGCCAACAGAGAGCGAACAGTTTGTAGCCTTGCTTGATTGGTTTGTTCTTTATTTTTATTGTATGGCTTGACCATCTGCAGGATGGATTTCGAAGAGCTCGACCGAATGGTTCCACTTCGTCGTACCAATTGCCCTTTCTAGAAGGAGTCAAATTCGGGGGTGACAGGTGAAAATATCGCTTTAGTTGCTCAAACCGCTTAAGACTCATTTTTTGCAGAGGAGGGAACGTGCATTGACCATCTGCCCGCCAATATAGATTCACACGTGCTACTTTGACCAGTCCCATAAAGATTAAAAGACCAAACCAAAACATCAACTCTCGGGCAGTAGTGGGTTTCCAAGGCTATTTAGCTCTAGGTACCGAAGGAAGTCGTCTTTTGCCCTTTTCTTGCTCCCTTTGATTCCGCATATAAATTTGTATTGGCAGCAAAGGTAGCGAAATCTTCATTGGTGACAAAGAGTCTGAAGAACGATAAAGGACTATCCATTTTGATAGTAGGTGGCAGGTCCTTTGGTTGCGCGACATGTGGGCTGAATGAGGATCGCAAAGGTTCAAAGTCAGGAGCGGTATCCAATGATGGAGGAATGTATTCTATCGCCTCAATCTCTTCCTGGTCTGGATCCGCTGGCCTCAAACAATTTCCACCATCCTCTGCTATTTTCTGAACGCGTCCAAAAGTGACTGCGGGCTCCACCACCTCTTCCTCCTCCTCAACTAACTCCTCTGCATCACCTAAGCACAAGCTCTCGCATTCTGAAATATCATCATCGGACTCTTCATCAAGTATCTCGTCACTCCACACACTTTCAAATTCTGAATCCGAGTCCTCGAAGTCTGACATTGATAGAAGCGGATCACAACGGGCAAAATCTTGAACTCAGACGGATGCGATACAGTCAAGGAATTCAGTATCCAAATAACGCGCCTAGGATTATCACTTTTCACTTTTGATACTGCACGGACCACTCCCAACTTGTGACACTTGGTCCGTGGCGTAACAGCCTGGTGCCAGGCGTAGGTGTCAAGGGCTAGGTTTAAATGCCAAGTCTTCTCTATATACATAAACGATCGCTGGCGCTCTCTCTTTTTACAGGGGCGAGCCCCCGTACCCCTACTCAATACTATAATTAGTAGATCTGATGGATTAGATAAATATCACGTGAATTCACTCGGTCGCACTCCGTTAACAATAGACATTAGAATTAACTATTAATTACAAAGGCCATGTCCCCCACTCACGTGATTTCAACCAAACGGCTGAACAGCTCGTATTGCATCCTCTCCCCAGCCTTAGGACCGCTGAGAATCTCACCAATCATGTCAGAACCCGGTGGGAAATCAACCTCGAATATAGGTTCACCTACGCTCCTCACATTAGCCAGGACAGCCTGCCGGAAATGCCAGCGCAACAGGTCGTCGACTGGCCTACGAGGATCGCCACGGAACCGTTCGTCAAGATGTTTCCCAGCTATACCCTTCGAATCCCTGAGGAAACAGACGATTTTGTAGCCATCCTAATGCAACACGAATTAGCCATTAATCATGCCTAGGGACGGACACAGCCATACGTCAGGGTTGATCGACACCTCGTAGCCATCAAACAGGACGTGAATGTCCGATCTCAGCAACATCCCATTCTGGACCGAGTTGATGAATTCTCCGTCAGTCGACTCGATGCTTATCAAGCTACCAAGGTTGTTCGCGTTCCAGTGGTGCAGGTAGGCCAGTGGAAAGATGTGTGCAGCCTCGAAGCCCCTCCAGCTGCCAAGATCGGCATTGACCGCGTCTTCCCCCGTGATAACGCACCGACGATCCCGGTCGCGGACGGCATTCCTAAATGATGCAACTCGAGTACCAGTACCAAGAGAAATGGTACGGGTAAGGCAAGTCTCATCGTTGATCGAGATGGAACCTGTTATAACTCAGCATCTGCTTCACTTCACTATCTGCTTCACTTCACCATCTGCTTCACTTCACCATCTGGTGTAGACGTAGAGGAAACCCACCATCAGTGACGACGTAGTAATTACCGGGCTGCAGCGGATTATCATCCCTGTCAAGCTGGCTGCGGCGTGCATCTTGTAGGTGATAGATGCTACTAAGGATGAGGATGATATCCACCATCGAGTAGAGGTTGACGTTTGTCACGCCGTTAGTAAGAATGAGGCCCCCGAGAACCGGGCCTGTGGGATCGCTTGCGGCGTAGATGTGGATGTCACGCCCCAGTGAGCGATTAGACATGTTGACCCTCCTTTCGTAGATATAAAGGTGATGGCGCTTCTTCGAAAAAGAGCGTGGGACACCACCCATATACCCAATGGTGAGTGGGCCGGGTAACCAAGTCTAGGCGCTTGTGGTGTGTGGCACGAAATGCCTGGTGTGTGGCAATGTGTTAAGGGTTAGGGGTTCTGCTGGTGGCTTGAACGTAGATTCCAGAACGGTGTCAGGAATCCCCTAACATAAAGTGAAGATACTACGTACTTCTTAGCATGGTGTCTGGTGCCAGAAATCTGCTAGGGAATCATCAGATTTCTTTGGCACCCGCCAGAAATCCTCTCTGGCGCGTCTATTAGTAATAGACGTCCGCTTGCGCTCTCTCCTATACAGGGGCGAGCCCCCGTACCCCCTACTCAATAATATAATTAGTAGATCTGATGGATTAGATAAATATCATGTGAATCCACTCGGTCGCACTCCGTTAATAGACATTAGAATTAACTATTAATTACAAAGGCCATGTCCCCACTCACGTGACTTCAACCAAACGGCTGAACAGCTCGTATTGCATCCTCTCCCCAGCCTTAGGACCGCTGAGAATCTCACCAATCATGTCAGAACCCGGTGGGAAATCAACCTCGAATATAGGTTCACCTACGCTCCTCACATTAGCCAGGACAGCCTGCCGGAAATGCCAGCGCAGCAGATCGTCGACTGGCCTACGAGGATCGTCACGGAACCGTTGGTCGAGATGATTTCCTGCTATACCATCTCCATCCGTGAAGAAACATACGATTTTGTAGTCATCCTAATGCAACACGAATTAGCCACTTATGGCTCTTCAAGAGAAAAAACGAATCCATACATCTGGATTGATCGACACCTCATAGCTATCAAACAGGATATGAATGTCCGCTCTTAGCAACATCCCATTCTGGACCGAGTTGATCGATTCTCCATCAGTCGACTCGATGCTTATCAAGCTACCGAAGTTGTTCGCGTTCCAGTGGTGCAGGTAGGCCAGCGGAAAGATATGCGCAGCTTGGAAGCCGCCCCACATGCCACGATGGGCATTGAGCGCCTCTTTCCCCGTGATAACGCATCGTCCATCTCGCTCGCGGACGGCCTTCCTAAAGTCTGCAGTGCGAGGACCGGTACCCAGAGAAATGGTACGGGTAAGGCAAGTCTCATCGTTGATCGAGATGGAACCTGTTATAACTCAGCGTATGCTTCACTTCACCATCTGATGTAGACGTGGATGAAACCCACCATCAGTGACGACGTAGTAATTACCGGGCTGCAGCGGATTATCATCCCTGTCAAGCTGGCTGCGGCGTGCATCTTGTAGGTGATAGATGCTACTAATGGTGAGGATGATATCCACCATCGAGTAGAGGTTGACGTTTGTCACGCCGTTAGTAAGAATGAGGCCCCCGAGAACCGGGCCTGTGGGATCGCTTGCGGCGTAGATGTGGATGTCACGCCCCAGTGAGCGATTAGACATGTTGATCGTCCTTGTGTCCGTGAGGGTAGTTGTAAGGGTAATGGAGCTTTCTCTGAAAAGCGGGGGGGGAACGCTGCCTATATACCGTATCGCGATACGGTATGCGGGGGGGAGAGGGCGGGAACGCTGCCTATATACCGTATCGCGAGACGGCCGGGTAATGAACTACTCCCAAAAGGAACTGGTTCTTGTGACACCTGGTGCGTGGCGTAACAGCCTGGGTCAGGCGTTGGTGTCATGGGCTAGGTTTAAATGCAGTGGCTTTAACGTACTTCTTGGTCTGGCGTCAGGAAAAGTCCTAGTATAAAGATGATCCGCAAGCGTATCTTACATTCTGGTTCCAGATGTCAGAGAATGGAGAGGGAATCATAGAAAGCTGACTAGCACTAGCTTCTCTCCATTCTCTCACCTGTTCACTATACCATTCCACGTTCTCTTAGTCATCGCTGCGCTCTTCCTCTCTTCTCTTAACGGATGATGACTCATCGTCTCCTCTTGCTCCACTGGCGTTCCGCTACTTCCATTTTGTTAGTTATTAGTATGTCCACTGTTGTCACTAGTATATCAACGTTCCCTGGCGCTCTCTCCTATACAGGGGCAAGCCCCTGTACCCCCCATTCCATAATATACAGAGTCTGGTAGAATTATTGCGAAAGTGGGTTTTCCGTGACCCGATAGTCCTATTAGCCCTTAAAAGAATTTCTGCAGTGAGCACGGACCAAGAAGCCCACTCTTGTAGTTCTGACTTTCGCAATAATTCTACCAGATCACCAAGCTCGCCTATTACCCACGGCGCAGCCCCTACATCCTGGCGGGCATTCTGCGCCACGAGCGCCCAGCGCGTCCGGCACCGCCAGTGTACAACCTTCGCGCCAGGCTCCGCCGCAGGACCGTCCCACTTTTTGGGACCGTCAGGAGATATGGCTCACGTCCGGAGGGCACTCATCAATGCTCTGGTGGCGTGACCGCCATAAAATTCCCTCCCCCTCCGGAGATGCTAGGATGGAGTGACTCCGCCCACAGCACCTATGGAAATTTTGCTTCTTTTGATTATGTCAGTAGTACACGTAAGCACTTCCCAATGCTCTCACAGTTTTCTTGAATGCTCTCACGGCACGACGAATGCTCGCACGGCACGACGAATGCTCTCACGGCACGACGAATGCTCTCACGGCACCGCAAATACTCCCGTGAACGCTCCCGTGAGTGTTTCCGCGAGTGCTCTCAGAGCACTCACCAATGCTCACAGAGCTGAGGCATTTGTCATACCCACTCAAGGTGAGGCAACCTTGTAACTGGGACAGTCTTACTACGTATCGCTAGAATCCGATAGAAAGATGTGGCCGTGCAAGATAGAAATCAGGTTTTAGATTATTCCCAAAGATTTATCGCTAATAACTCAAGAATCTTTAAGGGCTCTGCTACCGAGTAGAATATACTTCATAGTTCTGATGAAAACTGTAGAAATCGGATAGTGGGCAGGAAGAATCCTGAATACTTATACTCCAAAGTATTCCGTTCTGCTGCTCCTACTTCCTTACTAAGTTCTGGTGATGCCTTCTAGCGGGAGGGAAGCAATACCACCGCTACCCCGCTTCTCTCTAAGCGTTAGCGGGTGCTTTCGGTTCCGAAGGCAACCACTCTTAGTCAAAGCCTTTTGTAACACCTGCAGTCTTGGTTGTCGCACCACCGCAACCTGCATGAATGAGCTGCCGCTCAGGTGTAAGCTTAATCATTGCTGTAGAGCTATTCCCTTATTGTAGACTTTCCAAGGCATAGTCCCTGCCACTACCGGCGGACTCATCATGCTCAGAGGATGTAGAGGATCGCCGAGCACTCACAGCTTCACTCTGGCTGGCCTTCTAGTCATTGGCGAGGCATAGACTCGTCAGTCATTACTCCCATGAATAGATCCTCTTCCTAGCGCTCAGAATGTAGTTACTCTGACAGCTGGTAGCTAACCACACTGTCGGTACTTGCATGTCACTGTGCAACTGGCTTCTAACAATAACTCTCATCATGTAACTGGGCCCTGTGTGTACTCATACACCAGAAATTTGAAATGGCTCCGTTACACTACTCCCCTCTTCCAGGATCTTGGTCTCCGAGACCTATAATCTGTAACGAATTTATTCTATGCAATACTATCTGACAAAGAAACTTCTTTGCTGTGGAAGGGGATGAAAATCGAAGGAATGCTACTGCCCCAGACTCCTTTTGTCTCTTGGCCTTTTAGGATACCTCATGTGGAAATCCCGGAGGGCTTCTTCAGCACTCTTCCTGAGATGTTCCCAGGGTTCCCACGTAGCGTCCTCATTCTCATATCCTTCCCATAGCACCAGGTATTCTACCCTTATCCTCTTCTTATTGACCCGGCTATCAGCCACTTCCAGGACGGTCCAGTTCTGTTCTCCTGCAATTTCCTCAGGTTCCGGTGGAGGAACTTTTCTCTCGGGATCTACTGGCGCTCTGTAAGGTTCCAGGAGAGAGATATGAATGACAGGGTGGATTCCCATTTGTGGGGGAGGAGAGAGCTTATAGGCACGGGTACCAATAGCTTCTAAGACCTTGAAGGGTCCCATCTTCTTCTGGTGCAATTTTCCCAACGATCGCTTTGTTTGCGCATTGGGCCGGTCTAACATTACTTCATCTTCGCTCTTGATTTTAGGTGGTGCTAGGGTATGTGCATTATACCACCGGGCCATCCTTAATCTAGCTTTTCCCAAACTCGTATTCATCCCCTGCCAAATAGATTCCCATTGAGATATCATGATCTCGCTTGCTGGGTTGTTCCATTCAACAACTTGCTTAGGAGCCGGCCAATTGGTCCTGTGTTCATAACCATAGTTGGCATAGAAAGCCGATACTTTGGTAGACTCAGAGACCGCCGAATTATATGCATACTCTGCCAAAGGCAAGAGGTCTGCCCAGTCATTCTGTTGATATGAACAATAACTCCGCAAGTAATGTTCCAGGGTCTGGTTAACTCTTTCTGTCTGGCCGTCCGTTTGGGGATGGAAAGAAGTGGACATCTTCAGCTTCACATTGAGGAGGCTCATGAGAGATTGCCAAAAATGAGAGATGAACCTGCTATCTCTGTCCGAGACTATGTCATCAGGTAACCCATGGAGTCTCCAGACTTCCTTCAAGAACAGCTTCGCCAAATATTCCGTCTTGTTGAGTGTAGGAAGTGGGATGTAATGCGCCATCTTCGAGAAATGGTCCACTATTACCCAGATCTTTGTAAACCCATTTGACTCCGGTAGTCCCACAATAAAGTCCATAGAGATGGAAGTCCATTGCCGATAAGGTATCTCCAGTGGTTGGAGCATACCGAACTTCTTGTGTCTTGAGGTTTTATTCCTCTGGCTGTAACGGCAATATCCTATGATGGCTAAGGTGGTAGATTGGATCGTGAAGAGAAGGTATTGCGCAGTCGAATTAAGATTTGTAATGAAGGTTCTGTTATGTTCTTTCGGTTTCCATTACGCAGGGTATTAGTCATCAACGGACTAGGAGC